CAGAGTCTTTTGCAAAGTCAAGCCAACATCTGATGTGAAGGTAACTGTTCTAGACATGGCCTGGCGCAGTCTCTTTCTTGAGGAGCTCAGCATTACAAGGCTTCCCAGTAGAAGCCATGTGTTTGAAGAAGTGTCAAGTTAGATTTTTTTAATGGCGTAAGAAATCTAAAGCAGTCACTCATGCTTCAGAAGAGGCCTTGGTTAAGATCTGATAGCCACCACTTGTTTTTTTCTTTTACTTTTTAAAAGAAGGATAGAGCTGTAGGACTAGAGACAAACACTGTGGCTTCCTGAAATTAGCTCTTAACCCAAAAGGACAAAATAAAATTGTGATTTCCTACTTGTGCATGAATTTTAGAAATTAAAAAAAGCTTTCACAAACTTTCAGCCAGTCAACCCTTTGTAGCAGTCAGCTATTAACACAACGATGTCGTGTAATAATAAAAGACCACAATAATCTCAGTGGCATTCAACACTAAACATTTATTTCTTACTAACATGTCTGTGGGGCAACTGGGGTGTCTGCTCCTGTGTCCAACCATGGGACCAAAGTTTGCAGAGCAGTGGCTACCCAGGGAATGCTCTTGCCATGGTGTTGGTGGAAACACAAGAGGACAAGTCCAATCATGCAAACACACACATCATATCCTCTCCTCACATCACATCCACAAGCATTCCATTGGCCAAAGGAAGTCATGTGGCCAAACCCAATGTCAAGAATCAGGGAAGTACACATCACTAACAGGCCATGGGTCACGTGAGTACACAGCACTACCACAGGGGAGGAAAGAATTGTTACTCACTTCCTAAACAATCCTGAAAGGTATGCTTTATAGGTTCTATTCTTTCTTGACAGTTGAGAAAATTGGGCCTCCAGAATTTAAGTCATTCATCCAGGTTGGACAGGCAGTACGTCACTCTAGCAGAATTAGAATCCAAATTGCGGGCGGCCGAGAGGCGCATTGGTTAAGAGCTGGCTTGGGACTCCAGAGGGCCCCTGTTCAGATCCCACATATGAGGGCCAGTGACGCTGCCCTCCACAACTAAGATGCTGAACAACAGCTCAACCTGGAGCTGGGCTGCCGTGAGTCACCAGCGAAGGTG